GTTTTCCCAACTTTGCCACTTCCCTCCCTCCCTGACTTGCCCAGTGGCACCTTATGTTGAATGGTTGCAGCCCAGTGTAAAAACCATAAGGGAAAAGCAGGAGGTGGTGACAGCTGAGAGCTGTCTTTTGGGAGGTCCCTATTACTGATACAAAGGGAGCAAATAGGTGCAGATGCATACAACATCTTTACAAATCTCACCATTGGGGCTGTGGAAGAGTGGTCACACGGCTGGGTTACTTGGAGTCATTGTTGTTTCTGGAGCTAAGAGAGCTCCTGCTGAAGAGGCACTGGCAAGGTTGGTGGGCAGGAGCGTGTGGATTAGGATTTGGATTCAGGACTGGGATTCAGGAGGTCCTGTGCCTGGAGAAGATGCAGTTGTCTGAGGATGCTCCAATGCATTTTGCAGCCTAGAAGGCACTTCTGTGGTCTTTTGAAAAGAGAAAATCTCTTGCCATCTGCCGTGCTAGGATCTAACACAAGGTTGCACAGCAGAGTTGGTGAAACCACATGTGTGTCCCTTGTGTAGAACAGGGGATAATGCATGCTCCGTTCCCCCTGCCAGAGTTGGCTAATGGTGGGTGTGCACTGGCCAGTGAAATGCTGTGTGGATCACTACATCTCAGATGTGATCTGTCTTCTGTGCATCCCCGGCTTAGCAGACATGTTTTAGAAAAGTGTCTTTTTATTTTTTTTTTTATAAAAGGGGAGCAGAGGTGACTGGCTCCTGCTGCTGCACCAGCCACACTTGTGTTTTGCTCTGGGGGCACTGACCACACCAGCTGCTTTAAGGAGGACACAAGTTTCCTAAGTTCTGCTCCAGTGTGGAAAGGAGCAAATGGTATTTCCTTCAATAGCATGTGCTTTGTGTTTCCACCTGATTTCAGTTATACAGGCTTGCTTACTTTGTGTCCTGTTATTTATTTGAAAACATCCCTTCCCTCAGCAAAGAACGTGCTGCAAGCCCACCGTAAAGTTCAGCAGCCGCAGAGCAGCTTGGCCGCGGCAGGGAGCACGTGTGGCCCTGGCACTTTGTCGCCAGCACAGACAATGCATGGCAGCAATAAAGCCAGTAAGGCCTTTAAGAACATGTTTTGTGGAAGTGTCACGGTGCTGTGTCCTTCCCTGCTCTCACAGAACAGAGCAGAAAAGGTGCAGCAATAATCAGCTTGTGTTCGTAGGTGGGTTATTTGTTGGATGTGCTGACCTTGCCTCTGCCCCTTCAGGAGGAGCGTGGAATAAATCCTTTGCTGGGGGGATGCACTGGAGCTGCCCGCTCAGGATATTAGCTGTTCCATGGTGCCACAATTGTCAGTGAGGGGACAGTGTTGGATGCTGGAGCCCAGGGATTCTGCCTCTTAAACACCGATGCTCAGGCAGGGCGATCTTGTGCACTCACACTATCAGCTGCCAGGATTGTGCATAAATGTGCTTGTTTTCTGACATTGCAAACTCAGTCTTGTAAATGTTGGGGAAATAGTTGGTATCTGAATTTTCTGTATCTGCCAATATTTAATTCAGGGAGCAAATAAAAACTATCCTGGTGTTAACAGCTTGTTTGCTTTCTTTGACCTTGAATTGTGTGTTTCCAGTTGTGGCATGTGCCTGAGCAGGGCTTAATGGGGAAGCTGAATAACTCACCACTGCTTTTTCCTCAAGAGATTTTAAGCATGCAGTAGGCAGGTAGGAAACCAGCACACCCTTGAGTTGGTGTAAACGTCCAGTGATAGCTCATGCCCTCACTGTTCACACGTAGAGAACAGTTTATTAAAACTTCTGAACTTGGAATTCTGAAATGGGTGAGGTTTGGTTTTGTAAAGGGTTGCGTTGCAAAGATGAACCTTAAATCCTATGAAAGCTGTTGTCCTTTGCCAGGACAAGAATCGGTGGGAATGTTGGCTGTTGGTGCTGCATTGTGCCCTCCTGACGCTGGGCAGTAAGAACTGGCAGGGGGAGGGATGTACAGCAGTAGAGCTCATAAAACCATTCACAAACCAGTTGCAAGTCTTGGTAATTTTAAAATCTCCTTGGAAATCTTAAGTATTATTTTTCTTTTTACAACGTAAAGATGGCTTTAAAAACAGGTTTAACATTGGCTCGGTTTTGCCAGAGGCTCTTGGTTGTTTGTGCCAAGTAACAATTCCACTTGAGTTCTTTCCACGTTCCTTCCTCCTTTGCTCCATGGCAGCCAACTTCATGGTGTGAGCTGCGTTCTTACCCAGAGGCTGAGATCCAAGGGGAGAATGTTTCTCTTTGCCGAATGTCCTTATCCTTCGGGCCTCAGTGGGGTGGTTTTACAGGTGCTGAGAGTAGAGTAGGAAAAAGGAGACAAAGTAGGTGATGTGGTATTCTCCAGGGTGGAGCTCTGCCATGGTGCAGCATCCGTACTGGCAGGTAAGGGTAGACTTATTAAAGGAGCGTTAGTTGCGTTCCTTAGGTATAGGGCAGGCTTGATGCTTTCTCTTGGTTTCAGTCAGGATTTGTATTTGGTTGGAAGACTAGAAATGCCTTTGAGAGCAATCCTGGTTGTGCCATCGTTGCTATCCATTTTTTGAGCAATATAAGCAGTATTTCTGGTTTTTGTAAGGCTGTAGTAGTCAACTTGTCTGACTTCCCATCTGAGATGGATGGATGTCACCTGGTGTTCCTGTATCGAACCCATAACTTCAGTTAACAACAGTGCACCTTTTAGAAAAAGATAATGGTTTTGTGTTGCTGAAAGATGTCAGTGATGGGGCTCAAGTACATCCACCTCTGCCTTGGGCTGTTCCCACATGTACTGAAATGCCTGTTACTCTGTCAGGAGAAGTGATGCTATTGATGGTGCAATTTTTAAATGTAGACATAAGCTGTTCAGAAACACTTTCTTGTGGGCCTGGAGTGCTCAGCACATTCTCCTACTGCTGATTTCTTTGGTTCTGTGTTCTTAACCTCTGTCCGTTAGGAGTGAGTCGTACTTCACAAGATCTCTGCGAGCAGTTAAATCAATCTGACGATTGAGTCTGTTCAGTCACTCAGACTGTTTTAAATGAAAAGGCAGCTGTAACAATGAGGTATCGTCCATGGCCCCCCTGGGGGGGTGTGGACCCCTCCTCTGGGCTGCCTGTGCTCCCTTGGTTGCTCAGCACCTCAGGAAATTGCCCTTTGGGTGACAAAGGTGTCCAGTATGTACGATACAGGCTCCACGGGGCACCCCCAGATGCTGAGAGGTGGCAAGAGTGGCCCTGTCTGGGGCAGATGGTTGTTTTTTCACATGGGCCCAGCCTTTGGGGAGGGAGGTGCTGCAAAAGGACTTTACGATTAGCTCTGTCGGAGCTGACACAGTAAGAAGCAGCTTAAACTCAACTTTTCCATTCCTGACCTGGATTCTTCTCTCCAGGTACACCAGCTTTTACCCCAGAGCTCTGAGCATGAGGAAGTGACAATCTTCCAAGAGGTGATGTGGAGACACTGGAGAGCCTTGCGTCTCCTATAACTGCTACTTACCTGAAGTCTTCCCTTGATTTTTTTTTTTTCCCTTTAATTTAATGTCAGATTCTTCACCCAGTGTAGCACTGCTGCCCAGATAATTGCTAGCAACACCCACAGGGCTCTTTCATGCGTGAGGAGGCTATTTAGCTCCTGCCAGCCCGAGGAGCTTGGCTCAGCTCCCTGAGAGGTCTCTCCTACAGCGGGTGAGGCCGGTGCTGAGGGCTGGAGATCTGCTCCCACGCTGGGACACGGTGCAGTTCTTCCTCTGGGTTTGTTCCTTCTAAGCCGGGAAGGTGAAAGGCGGTTCTTTCCCTTCCTGGTGGTGGGTGTTCCCCAAGCTCCGCTCACCCCAGCTTTGCTCTTGGCCACAACTCCAGGAAGCTGCTGATGGAGACGATTCCTCAGCACCCTGTGGGTGCTGGTGAGGTGTCCAGAGGGGAATCTGGCCACCCCAGGACTGCTGCAGCACAGAGGCAAGTCCAAGGGGCTGGGGTCATGGTGCTGGTGACTGCAGGTAAGAGAGTGATGGGGTCTGGGGAGAGAGAGGATGGGGAAGAAGCCCCAGAGCCAGGGGACTCTGTGCACAGTTGAAGAGGCTGTAGTGTGTGGAGAGGGAGATGCTTGTGAAGAGCCTGCTGGGTGAGGAAATGAGGCTGGGGAACATGAAGGGACACCGTGGTGTCCAGTGCCTGAGTATTGGGGATAGTTGTTGGATGCTGACAAGGGGTTTAGAGGGAAGCCACAGCTGGAGAGTAACTGCGGTGGGAGTGACTGTGTCCCTCCCGTGCAGCAGTCTCCATGTGGGGTGGCCATCAGAGATGGAGTGTGGGGAGTTCAAAGGGGTCTGGATGTGGGGGGACAGGGCCCAATACACCTCACGTTCTGTGAGTCGTGTGCGAGGAGCGTGGGGAAGGGTGAGAAGGGACCAGGGCAGAAGATGGACGGGGAGGCCCAGGGTGTGCACCCGAGAAGCAGGGGAGGCTGTGGGACGCACCGGGATGGCCATGGGTGTGAGGCAGCACCGGGAGGTGGGAGAGGAGCTGGAGGGGAGGTGGAGGCCTGGGAGGGGTGCGTGGGGGGTTCCAGGCCGTGTGTGAGGGGAGCTGGGTGTAAAGTGAAAATCCAAACCCTTCCACAGGGGCTGGGGCTGTGCGTGGGCAGGGGGG